TGATACGTGGGGCAATGCCTCACACGATATTAAATTAATTTTTCCTTGGGGGAGAGTCCACCACAATAGCTTGCTGTTGGGACCTTCATGTGTCGCCTTTGCGTTGCACTACTGCAAATGCCTGGCACACCCCACCAAACCAAAATGTAAGTTTTGTTCAATGAAGGTAGTTCCGGACATTCAATGAAGTTGGCTTTGCACTCAAAACCATTTTTTTGTACTTGGTGAGGATCAATTGTAGTCTCCACATCTGCTGTCACCAAACAATGTGATTTATTTCATATTTCCTTTATGAGAAACATAACATTATAGCCAAATACAGTACTGGCCCCTCATCCAAATTCTATCATATTTCCTTCCAATACCGTAAGGCTCTCCACAGTACAGTACCCTTCCAATACATACTTCTATAATCCAAAAACTCTACGAATGTTTCTGATTGACTATAAGCCTGACATCCTATATATATAGCACAAAATTAACCAGTTTGTAAAAAGCTAAGAGATCATATACTAGTAGTTTTTTTTTTTCCTTATGACAAGGATCTTGCATACTACATCTGGTAAATATACTTGGAATCCCCTGAGAGCATTCTCAATGGGAGGTGGATTTTACAAGGTGGAGTAGGAAATCCACCTCCTAGGTCCAGTTTTAGTTTTCCAATGGGGAGGTCACTAGCATGCCACCAAGGTGGGCAACAAGGTGGGGAAGCTCACCTTGGAGGCCACTTTTCATTAACGTCGAATGGCATTAAGAATGTCATGCGAAGAGAAATAGTTGTCGTGCAAAGATAAATCATACGGCATTCAAACTGTCGTGCGCTATTTTATGGACAAACGACATTCCCACTGCCGTGTTAAACTGAAACAGAGTCAAATAATTGATCAAATACTGAAATAGAGTCAAATAATTGATTAAATGGCATGTACTATATAGGATTGTACCCAAAAAAAAAAGGTATGTAGGTGTGTATATAATTGTATTAATATTTTTATAACATAGCACAACAGATAATATCATGCTTAATTATGTCTTTAAGTTTTTCTTAAAAATAGTGCCATACACCATAGTGGCACTAGTTGACTGTTTTAATTAAACTGACCATTGGTTTTGGTAATATATATGCATAGTGATCCAACCCAAGCTTTTATTATTATTACACCCAGTTATTCTAACCCACGACACTTCAAATGCCGTCTGAACCTGTTTCAAATACGCCACACAACAGCCGTTTGGTTTGGTTTACGTACCTTATACGACATTTGTAATGTCGTCCGTTCATTTAAGCCCACCTTTGGATTGGGAAACCCCCACTTTTGCTTAGCCCACTGGGTGGATTTATGATGTGGCAAAGTGTTTCAGACGTGGCTCCTAGGTGGAGGTGGCCTAGCCCACCTCCCATTGGGAATGCTCTAAAAGCAAAGAGATGTGTAGTTTGTTCCGTTGAAGGGAATGCGTTTTCCTCTTAACTGCAGGCAATTTCAGCATCTAAGAATGCCAGATCGATTGTCAAAGGGTTCATATTTATATCTGAAGAAAGCAAGATGAATCTTTTTCTTAAAATCTATAGAAAAAAAGGTTGATGTTAAGATCAGTTTCAGTAGTATAACTTTGCATCATTGCATGTAATTTACCTTGTTTTCTGTTCACACATTTCTTCCCAATTCTAACAGAACTGTAATTCAATTACATTTATCTATTTTAGTCCCACATGGCGGAGATACAGAATATAAGAAAAAGAAGGGCTATAAAGAGGAAGCTAGAGGCACATGCAAACATACTTACCTGGATGGGGTCTATGGGCGATCAAGAAGGTCCATGGCCTAGGTTGGTGACCTCCATTGCACTTAGGAGGGGTGCCCGCCTAAGATATCTCCAAGTGGGATAGTCTACATCATAATTTGTTGCTGAGGGGGTACGCGTTCGCGCGGCCCCTGCCAAAATTCGTTCCTTAAATATTCATTAGTTCATAGCGAAAGATTTCTCAATTGGGATGAACATAAGTTCTCTCTTTTAGATTGATCTTTTTTCCTCTTGAAATTTACATGCAGAAACATTGCAGTAAAGCTAGATACAGATTCCCACTTGACTAATTCATAGCTTGATTAAAAAAACTTCAGAGCTTCCATCAAACCATCATGTTTGTGTTATTATGTGTGCTTGGATTTTAGTCATGGACTAGGTATATAACATAGAGCGGAAAAGGCACTTTCTCGGCTTTTTCGCTAAGACCCAAGTGTGGTATCTGTTCAAGAGTTGCCCATGCGTTTGCTCTACTGCAAGTCTGCAAGGGCTTGGCTCAACCCAACCAAATGCAGTTGTCAAAAGTTCTGTTTCAAACTATGGATGCAGTGTAAAATCATTTTAAATCCGTTTTTAATACTTGTTTTGGAGTTTTACACGTAACATCAAGTTCTGGATGATACTTGTTCTTGAGTTTTACAAGATGCTGCAAAATATGATTCTAGATTTCTAGGTTCTTTGGTAAGTCTGCCATAGCAATAGGCCTAAAACCAGTAAAACTAATTTCCAAACCATGTAATGGTTGGTTAAATAACTTGAAGTTTTCTCATTTACTGGGGGACAAACAAGCATATAAAAATGTGATTTCCAAACAATCAAAGCGTAATTTTAAATTTATTTTTCACTAAAGATAGTTTTTATACACTTGGACGGTTACAGAGCTTCCTATTTTAAACTTAATAATATAGGATATAGGATCTATCTCAGACAGAAGTGGTGTATTCAAGAGATCTGATCAGCCAGAGTGAGCTGCCACAGTAGATTGTCGCTTTTGTAGGCATTCTACAGTAAAATCTCGCAAAGCTTCAACATTCATGAGGCAATGGATGAAGTCAACATATGCATAATCTTAATAAGATATATAATCTTCCTACTCTACTCACCATTGATTAGACACATGCTGATTGTACTTGGATTATTCATGGCTTATAACCCAACTACCCCCACGCAAGCTCTTAACACCCCTCGTTTTCATTTCCCTCCTAACTCTTTCGGCATCAGCAAACCTACCGACACCAGCATAAATGCTAGCCAACAATACATAGTTGGCAGCGTTATTCGGCTCTATCTCAAATAAAACATTTCCAGCAATCTCAGCAAGCTCCACTTCTTTATAACTGCGGCAAGCTGCAAGAAGAGCCCCCCAAGCTTTCGCTGTTGCTTTCATTGGCATCTTTCTTATAATATCATAAGCCTCATATAACCTTCCTGCTCTACCCAATACGTCTACTAAACATGCATAATGTTGACTGCTAGCCTCAAGCCGGTAATAATTCCTCATTCGTGCAAAATACCTCAAAGCCTCATCAGCCAATCCGCCATGAGCACAAGCCTTCAAAACTCCAAGGAAAGCAATCTCATCCGGCCACACTCTAGCTAATTCCATTTCTCGAAAGATTGATAGCGCATTCTCTGCCTCTCCATGAAGTGCATAAGCCGAAACCATACTGCTCCATGCCACTACATCCTTCTCGGGTATCCGTTCAAAAACATATCTCGCATTTCTGAGACACCCACATTGTCCGTAAACTTCTATAAGACCACTACTCAACTGCAAACGTGAATCGAACTCATTCCTAAATGAATACCCATGAATTTCCTTAATTAAATTTAACGCTGCAACACCAACACAAGCATGTAACAAGGCAAGAATTGTAATTTCATTTGGCTTGACACCAAAATGTTCCATTCTTCTGTAAAAACCAAGAGCTTTACTCCTTCCATCATCCAACTTTAACAATGCAGCGATTATCGAATTAAACGAAGAAGCATTAGGTTCACCATCTATAACTTCAAACAACTGCATTGCCATGTCCACATCATTAGAACTCAAATAAAGTGAAATCATTGAGTTCCACACGACAACATTTCTTTCAGGAATTTCATCAAACAGTTTTCTAGCTAAGTTTACTGAGACACATTTACCATACATATCAATAAGAGCACATGATACAAAGGGACTAGTAGTAAGGAAACAAGATTTGAGAGTGTGGGTATGAATGGAAATGCCAAGTTGTGGAAGATTAAGAGCAGAACATGACTTGAGAGCAAGTGGGTAGACAAAAGAGTCGAGTTGGAGAGATGGGTTGGCATGCATGCTTTGGAACAGAACAAGGGCTTTCTCATGTTGTGCATTATTGACATGAGCAGCTAAGAGTTTGGTATAAGCGAGCAAGCTTAATTGATGCTTGGGGTTGTGAAGAAACATTAAAACAGGGAAATTGGGACATGTAAAGCTCTATTTCTCAACTGCAGTGGCAAGGTGTAACTAGGTGGAATGTCCTACAAGTACGCACTGGGATTTGATGCCTAATGCCTAGGCTTTTGGTCACGCAAGTACGAACACTCCGGATTTAATCAGCCTTTTGGTTACTTTTGGGAAAAGGAAAACCACTAGGATGACTTTGAGCCTAATTAGAATGAATACACAATACAGTAGTTAAGTGAACCAGTGGCCCTTTTAGTTACTTACAAGGTACAAGGAACAAGGGTCTTACTTCTATGCTTTCCCATGTCACACTCTCGTCTAACCATAAAAGGATGTTAGCAACAGATGGTTAAGTGGTTAATTCCCGGACTTAGTGACACCATGAGCATAGCTCAGATCCATACTGCAGCTCCGATTAAGAGTTTGGATCTTACCCAGGTTAAGCACAAAAGAAAGAACCGCTCTTAACTGTCAGAGATCAACTGCCCTCGTTGCATGCCTGCGGCACCACCAATCCACCATACATTTGGCCATAACGTTTTCAAAGAACAGATTAACATGCTAAGTTTCTTTAAATTTGTGATAGAAACCTTTTACAAAGAGTCGAAAACACAAAATAGAGTGGTAAGTGTCCAAAACGTACCAATTCTCCTGGTTTCTCTGTTCTTCCACAAAGTTTTGTTCTTCCACAAAGTTATGTTATATACTTATATATCAGGCAGAGATGCTCTATACGTGGAACTATCACAGAATTATGTGATCTAACACATACATGAGAGACTTCTTTCAACTTATGGCAACTTTTCTTTGGATTGACTTATACTTTTCCAATGGTTCACTAAACACGAAACAAAAGTAAATAAGTAATCCAAAGGGAATATACTTGCTCAGAAAAAAAAAAGTA